GAACACCGTAGTGAGGTATAGAAAGAAGTAAAAACAGTTGAGGATGAAGGTTGAAGATGAAGCGAAGCGGCACCATCTCTTACATAGCACATTAAACAATTTTCCTTATGCCTGCGTGCCACCCCGAGTCTGTTGACGTAGCTACGTGGTCACATGGTGACGTGGTTTCAAAAGTGCTAGCGCAGATTCGGTACTTCATTTCTCTTCTGTCGCTGTATGTCGTTAAGATGTCGTAGTTTGGAGCGGATGGATCATTGTGCTAGTCGTGTGTTATTGCTTGTAATGGCCAATTCGGATGGTCATTTTCCCTGAAAAAGGTTTTCCCATATCTTCGGCAAGGGCGTTCGCGGGGTCAAAGGCTGGCGGGTGCAAGCTTTTCGGGTTGCGCTTCTCAGGCGTGTACCGGCAATTTACCAGCAGAAGTTTTCCCGAGCTCCAAGAGGTCGGGCAGCTTGTCTGCCAGACTGTATCCGGTATCGTCACATCCGAATCGGGATAGGGAACCAAACGAAACAATGCTTGCTGAGGCGGCAAATAGCGGGTTCGAGTGGCAAACGAAGCCATCGAGACAGGCACCCTTTTGTGCTCTGAGACAAGATAGCAAAAACAACGAAGAGAAAGATAATTTATGTTTCAAAGAAAGTCAACATTTTTGGAAAAATCTAACCAGCCTGAGCAAGGTATGTTTGCTCTGAGACACGGGCTGCATCATACAGCACTTTATTTCACAACTCTGTAATAAAAAGTTATTGCACCCCTGAAAAAATGTATGCATAGTGATGCAGTTTGAAACTTGAACACGCATTACAATTTCAAGGAGGGTGGGTGCAATGAGAAGACTGAGGATTCCAAAAAAGGTACTGGAGAGTTTTAGTAGATCGTTCCAATACCCCCGATAGCCCCGATAACGATACTATGCATGCGCAAGGGAGGCGGTGGCGGAGTATCGGGTACCATTATCGGAGTCATGGGAACGATCTACTAAAACTCTCTACTAACAGTAAACAGAATAAGGAAAGCGACGCTGGCAAGCCTCCGTGGCAACAGTTAATCGAAAATCCAAACGAAGTTTATTGAAATTTGACGCGCGTGCGGGCAGCACCACACTGATTTATACATCTGCCCTTTCATTGATTTTATATTTTAATATTCTGTCAGCTGTACGGACTGTGGTAATGCCACTATTTTGAAAAGTTTTGTAAAGCCGCTTCTGTTTACACACATCTCAAAGAGTCGTAATTTATGTTGTTGGCGTATGCAGCGTGCTCATGGTACCATAGAATGATCGAAGAAGTTAACAGAGCTCACTCGCGACCCAGTCAAATAAAAACGCCAGTTCATTGTGCTTTGCATTCGGGTGGAGACGTGATGCGCCGCTGGCGCGTTTTTGGTCGCCGGTGCCACAGGCAAGGGCTCGAAGGCAATTAATTACCCGAATTCGCCATAAATACCGCAGAAAGATTGCGAGATCATGATGTTGGATTCATTTGGGTTCGAAATGAGAGAGGTTAAAATGAGAAAAGTCTTTCTGACAATGGTCAAAACCGGAAAGTATGTTTTGAGAAAATTTGAAATGAGAAAGGTTAAAATGAGAAAAGTCGTTTTGAGAAGGGTCAAAACCTGGAAGTTTGTTTTAAAAACGGTTTACATGAGAAAGGGAGAAACGCGAAAGTTGTTTTGCGCTGGGTTGAAATGAGAAGGAAAAAACGAGAAGGTAGAAATGCGAACGGGTTCAAATGAGAACCACCCAGTGTATTGGCTGCCATGGAAGGCGACGACGCGAGGCTCGTGAAAGATATGTAATATAATATTCTTTTTAATCAAACGCATGCACGAGTGTCACAAAAAAAAAAATGTACAAAGTTTTTTCACCGCAAAAATAAACTAGGCATCGCCGAACGTTCATTCTCCGCCCAAAGGTAGCGCTAGAGGTCACAACCAGTTGCCAAAGTTTCAGCCCGATCCGATACCTTATTCAAAAGTTTTGTGATTTTCTGAAAATTTCAATGGAAAAATAGAGCCCATTTTTGCGCGCTCCCGGTTTTCGGTGCCATAGAGCCCCGTGTACTCAAAAAAACACCGTCGGTCGCCATTTTCCCATTGAAATTTTCAGAAAATCACTTATAATTTTTTATTAAGTTATCGAATCCGGCCGAAACTTTGGCATCTGGTTGTGACCTCTAGCGCTACCTTTGGGCGGAGAATGAGCCTTCGGCGATGGGTAGTTTATTTTTGCAATAAAAAAAAACAAACTGTAAATTTTTTTGGGGGGACATTCTGTAAATTGAAGTAATCTAGTCAAACCCTGCGTTCAATGTCATCAAAGTCCTCTTGGAAGGCAAACCAAGCGCATGCGTGGTCACGCGCGTGCGTGCGGGCCAGCCGCGTCGTGTCGGCCGCGCGCGCTGGATCGTGTGCACGGCGCGGCGTCTGTGATTTTCTGAACGATTCGCAAAACGCGCAATTCACTTTTCAGTTACCCCGCCTCTTGCGACAATCATGGACGACATCGGCGAAAGCTAGCGGTGTCTCGTTACAGGAATGGACATGCTCAACTGCGATCATGTCATCGAGCGCAGCGTTGGACCAGAGCCGACGGCGGACAGCGTTCGCATCGTCGCGCACGTGCTGCAGCCCTCCGCGAGGTTCAAAAGCATGCTTCGAACACTGCGGTAGGCAGCCAGTGCGCACCGTATCGCTACAAACAAATATGCAGCGAGCGCCGAAACGATGCACGATGCGGCGGCTTTACGTCAGGCGAGTGCTGGCGTCGATGTTGTTTGCCGCACAGCGATTGTTTGTGGCGATGATGATGATAATGAAACTGCGCCCCCTATAGTTAGATCTCCTCGCCAATAGCTTTACGGGCGACACTTTGCAGAGATTTCGACCTCGTCCGTTGTCGTCGCCGGCAGGGTGAAGAAGGGAAAAACCCTTTCTTATCTCCGTGGAAGTCGGGTTTCCCCGTCGGCCCTGCAGAGCCCGGCATCCCGCCAGTAACGACGCGACGAAGGGAGAATCCTCATGTCGTCTGCTTGAAAGACTTGTTTTCAAACATTACTCGCGTTATGCGAAATCCCACTTTGGCAGTCTCCAGTTGCTACGCGTAATGTTGGATGATTTTAGAAAACTTCCACCGCGCTTACCCACTTACTTCACGGATCACCACGCACTCGTGGCTGTCGTCGGTGGCATCGACGTCGCAAACCACGACGGCTATGAGAATTAATCACGTCGAACCTTCGTCCTCAGGTATAAGTGACGGCACCATTCCACCCGCATTGCGCGACCGTGCTCCAGCTATCGCTTCCGTTTCTTCGCACATCGTAAAGAAAGCTGTAGAGAAATTACGAAGATACCTTTAACCAGACCAGGTATATGTGAGTAATAACGCCCTTATTTTTCGAAAATGTAATAAAACAAATTTCATTCAATTCCGCACATGTGTTTCGGTCTTTGTTCATCGATCTCCGTAGATCACGATGATCGGTTTTCTGAGTGTTGTACGATCAAAGTTGACGCCTCACCTTATAGAGTGGTCGTAATGTGCAAGTCACATTATGCCGAAACGACAATATAGGTGCGTACCTCGACAAGAGGTCACGGGTATATCGACGATCAGCGCATTGACATGACCCATTTTACTGGAGGAAACGCTTTTTTCTCTCTCTTGCAAAACAGGTAATTCTTCACGGCTCCGAGTAGTTACGACATGTAATTGCGTCTAGGTAGCGTCGCCTTAAAGACCCCAGGCCAGCTGTCGTAGAGCACTGGCTACAATTTTCTCATCTACGGCGGAGACATTAGACGCCTATTTGAGGCTGACTAAGCTTTTTCTGTCTGAACATACAACACACATTACGGTACCGGGTAGGACCGTAGTTGAACCGCAGAGTAGCAATTCCTGCACACTCATAATAATTGTCTGAGATAGAGCTCCATCTTGACTATAGTTGGTAAAAAGAAGCCAAGTCGCCAGTCAGGCACTGCTCGTGCGTGAAACATATACAGGGTGTTTTTTTCTAGCTGCACCAAATTTTCAAAAAAAGGGAACGTGAGATAGAGTATTTTAAGCCTGGGGAAATGTTAATGGTCGTGGCGGCCTCTAGAAAAAAGGTAAAATTAGGTAATTAGTTCACTCATTAACAAGAACGTTTTAACTAACTTTTTAATTTTTCACTCGAGAGTACACATAATGTATTTAGAGAATTGAAGCTCGACCTCAATATGGTCTAGCCCTGCCATCAAAGTTTGATTAAAAAAATTTGTAGTAGGTGCTACGGGGTCAAGAAATTTCACTTTGGTACACGGCGTCAAACCGAAACTAAGCGAGGAAGAGCGCCGGTAAAGTTTTCGCTCCGCCCTTTCGGGCATGCGATTTGTTATCGCGGCCGGCTCCACTTGCTTAGGCGAAGCTGGCTGCGATAACGGCGATCCACGGGGGCGGGAAGAGCGGAGCGATTACTTTACCGGCGCTCTTTGTCGTTTAGTTTCGGTTTGACGCCGTGTACCAAAGTGAAATTGCTTGACCTCGTAACACCTACTACAAATTTTTTAACCAAACTTTGATGGCAGGGCTAGATTATATTGATGTAGAGCTGCAATTATCTAAATACGTTATGTGCCCTTAAGAAAAAAATTAAGAAGTTAGTTAAAACCTTCTAGTTCATGAGTGAACTAATTACCTAATTTCACCTTTTTTTCTAGTGGCCGCCATGGCCATTAACACTTCCCCAGGGCTTAAATTACTCTATCTCATGTTTCCTTTTTTTAAAAATTTTGTGCAGCTAAAAAAAAAAAAAAAAAGAAGAACACCCTGTATATCTCTCCTTCGTCTTCGTTATTTGGTGAGCGTTTCTCACCCTGCCTGACGCCCCTGTCGACCGGTGGGTTTCTCTCGCACCGCGCTTTCTGACGCCGACTTCAGAGGACCTTTTGACGATCACTACCGCGAACACTCTCGGAAACTGCCAGAGAAAGAGGTTTACGGACGTACTCACCGACATTGTTGTTGGAGCACCGGTAGACGTGCATGGACTCATCGTGCGGAAGCACCAGGGCCGTCCCCTTGACAGCGAAGTAGCATTCGCTGATGCTGAGGAAGAGAAAAAAAAATAACGACGGTTCGTTACGCACAACTCTCTCATACAAAGCGGTATCAGACAGCAGAGAATGTTAGAAAATTAATCCCTCTCACCCCCTTCTTCCCCCTTTTTTTTTTTTTTTTTTTTTTTTCACAAGCGCATATGCCTTGGAAACTTGCAAAACCTATTGAAGCGAGCTTCGAGGCGCGCTACCGACATGGTGTCGGGCACGTAAAAACGATGTTCTAGAACTCCCCAACATCACGCTTATAGTGATATCAGTACGAGAAAAAAAGAAAAGTGTTGAATACTTGGAATTTAGGGTTTCGAACATGAAGTAGCACTCACATTATGTTTCATAGATAGTACGCATGAAAAGGGAAGACATTGGGATGCCCAAAGAAATATGCTTCCACCGTTTTTCAAATTAAGCGTGAAAACAGCAAATAAATAAAAATCCAGAAACATTTTACCAAACGGCTAGAAAATGGGCTACTTATTTACTATTTTGGACGAGCACAATGCGCACGTGCTCTTCTTTTGGTACTTATCTCAGAACATTTTTTCCCCTTTATCTAGACCGTACAGTGAAGGCTGCGGGAGCGAGCATAGCTTTAAAACAATGAGACGTTTAAAACCCTCTCTAACACCGAATAAGAGCGCAGCTCTTGAGGAGGAGGAGGGAAGGGTACTGAGAACAGGGTATACACCTCCTCCTCACCTCCTCATCCTCCCTGATACTCCTCCTCGCCTCCTCCCTCTTCTTCCTCCTCCCCTCCACCTCCTCCTCGTCCTCCTCACCTTGTCCCCCCTCATCCCTCAAGCTGCTCCCACCCCTCCTCCTCCCCCTCCCTCCTCTCCTCCTCGTCAACGCTCCTCCCCTCTTCCCCTCCTCCTTCCCTCCCCCTCGTCGTCTTCCTCCTCACCCTCCTCCTCCTCCCCTCCTACTCCCCGCGCGTTGCAGCATGGGAAATGCCCCATAATGCACCGCGCAGGACTCTCGTAACGTCACACGTGACGTCACGAGGATCCCGCGCGGTGCATTATGGCCGGTGACATTTCGCATAATGCAGCGGGCGCGGTTACGCCGACGCCGCCGGCGATGCCGCTCAAGCCAAAAACGGGCGCCTAAGAGCTGCGCTCTAAAAACGTCGTTCAAAAGGTTAAAAGCGCGAATTAAAACACGGACGAAACAAGAAACACGCAAGACAAGGACACGCGCCACTTTCAACTGAATTTATTGAAAGAACATTCACTCAGTGCGACTGTCGTTTACCATACCAATAACAGGCCATGAACCGATAACGTATCGGTCTTTTCCGCGCAGCGCCGGCAAAAGGGGCGCGAAAGTTAAACCGCTTTGTCTGCAAGAATACGCGTGAAAACAAAACACTTTCCAGCGTCACGCGCTGGTGACGTGTCACCTTGTGGCAGTTCCAAAAGCTCCCATATTGCAGCTATATAATGGAGATGATAGGAGATTATGCGCTAGATCAAGCACTCTCGATTTCGTGAATTGAAGGTGACGTACAAAGGCCCAATATCTTTTTCCTCTTTCTACTCCATGCCTAAAGACGTTCTCCTTTTTTCTTCTCTCTTTTTTTCCGGTGTGGAGGCGCTATTAGAGCGTCGGGTTTGGTTTGGCTCTGCACAGGGTGGGTAGACTGACTATCGGAAAAGGTCTATTTTTGCACGAGAGCCCGCAGTTGCTGCGGGCCGACATGACGTGACCGCAAAGCGCAAACACACAAAACATCTCGCTATTGTCCCTAAAAGGAAAAATAAACGTCCGTAAAAAAGCCGGCGCCGATCGGGTCAAGGGCGACAACACGTCAAATGGACGGACAAACGAAAATAGCGACGAAAGAATCCACATTCTGCCGTACGGCGTCCCAGAGGCACTTCGGCGTGAAAACACTATTGCGGAAAATCGTTTTTTTTTTTTTTTTTTTTGTCTTTTTTTTACTTTCTTTTTTCATGGAAGCTAATGATATTCAAAATTATCACAACGAGATATCTGGACATCGCTTAGCCATAATACATTGTTTTATGGCTAAGCAAAGTTCCACGGAGGGGAAAAGCTCCGACAGAGTGACGCAACTGTTCCCAGAAAATATCGAAACTCTTAAAAACATCCAGGAATGCGATTTGTCCGTACTCGAACACCGACGGTGGCATTCCACGTGAACAATGCTCCAGCGCTGATCGAACCTTTGGTTAAAACGTTCTCTCATCAACAGCCGTGCCTTGTCATTTCCGAGTACATATTGTAGCAGAACTACACTTTCCACCCTCTGTGTGAAAAAAAAAAAAAAAAAAAAAACATTGTTTTTTTTTTTGTTTTTGTTTTTTTAAGAGTATGGTTAGGTCGGATATGTTGTCGCGGACAGATAAAACATGCTGCAGTGGGCTACGCCACACTTGTATGTAATCAAATTACTTGGAATATATTGCTGATTGGAGTAATACTGTAATCATTTAAATATCTTTATAGGGAAGTAATAAAAAATCATTTGATTATTTTTGGAAGTACTAAAATTACTCTTAACCGTTATTTTTTTCTACGAAGCAATCCACGAACCGCCTCCGACAGTATACGATGGTTTACTAAAATTGGTGGATAAAGAAAATAAGTAGTTTATAGTTCGGTCATTCTAATCGAATACAGGACAGTAGGAAAGATCGACCCCTTTTGAAACCGGAAAGAAAAATCTGTCGTTTCGAAAATCGGATGTACCCACTATGCACGAGTAAGTGTTCAAATATTACCCGATGATGACTATACGGGGATTTTGTTTTTTCTAAATCGTTTACTTTAACAAGACGTGAAGGATTTTATGAATTATTTATGCATTATACAAGCTTTTTTCTGAGCTAACAAAGCAGGTATACTTGTCAAGGTGTGCTGTGTATGATAAGTTTTACATTCGGGCTGGGCGCTAAGTGTGTACTATGCACGGCGTGCGGACTATGCACCGGGCGCGGACTATAGCCCGAAAATATACGGTAATCGGAAAAGTAACGGTTAATTTTTCAAGTAACGGCCAATTAACTTGTTTCTCGGGTAATCAAGTAATCTAATGGAATACTTTTTAACCGAGAGTAATTGTAATCGTTTGGTTTTTTCGAGTAATGCGTATAAGACTTGGCTGCGCTCACTGTGTGCACGTAACGCAGTGCATACATTTATAGCATTCACACGACTACCTCCTTAATCCGTTCCCAACACACTGATGAGCTTAGAGTATTTAGAATATCCTTAATCCGGTACCCTAAAATAAAAGAAGAGGAAAAAGAAAACGCATGATCTAACCATTCAGGTTTTTGGCCAATCCCCCCTTTGGACAAGTGCCAAATGTGTTCGGAAACCACAGCAGCAACAAATGCCGAGCATCTGTAATGTCGTAATGTTCGCTTTCCGTTGAAAGTGAGCAGGAGAAAGGCGCTTTGCCTAACCCACAAAACGAAGAAGCTGTTCTGAGAAGATATGCTCAAAGCCAAAGACGATAACTGCTCCCTGCGAGACTTATAGGAAAGAACCAAGCAAAACACGCGCACCGGGAGGTGCGCAAGGACGTGGGATGGGCGTCTTCGATGCCCGTCGTTAACCAGCAGTAAAAACAGTAACCGGATCTGGGAACTGTCCAAGCCGCTTCGTACGGGAGTCCGAAAAAAGAGCACGCCGACAGCGTTTCATTTTGCTTTCATTTTCTTATTATTTTTCCGCCGAGCGTCTATCTTCAATAAAATAAAGACAGCTTCATTTGCCCATAAATCCCAATTTCGCTACAAGTGAAAAGCCAACCGTCAATCAACTCCTGCAATAGCAGAAGCGCGAACAGAAATCTATCTGCAAATGTATAGCAAACAAACAACAGCAATGCGCTCAAAAAAAAAAAAAAAAAAAAAAAAAAAAACGCGGTTTAGTTTGGTGCTAAAAGAAAGATATCGAGTGACCTTGCATTTCGAAATCTAGCAGTCACATCGCATTGCGCGGGCGTTTTAACTTAGAAGCCCATCAACAAACAGAAGTCGCAAATCGCATCAAATACCACTTTCAAACAGCGAGCGCATGAGTCTAAAACTTGGGATGTCAAAAACCTTTTTTTTTTTTTTAAGGCAGTTTTAATAAGACGCGCTGTTTCAAGCAAGCTGTTGTCACGAATCATTCCATCGAGCGCCTTTCAAACATGTTTTCTCGATCGGTTGAGGAGCAATTTCCCCCGGAGTTAGCATAGTTCTTAGTCTCGAAGCTTGGTGCCATCCTGACGCGGAAAATACTCACTGCTGGCGATGCAGACTTCTTGCGAGATAAATGCTGTTGCTACCCGAGACCGCAGTAATGCGGTAAAACGGAGTCTCCAAGTATGTTTCTACCGAGACACTGCTCTAACTGGTTCGAAAACGCTCAATCATTCAAGAATAAATAACGAAATCGAACAGACCACCGAAAAGGATGCTAGACATCTCAAGATTCAAGGACCCAACTGGCGCGGCACTCCATCACGTACCCAGGCACCACGGCGACACTGGGCCAGCGTCGGGGGAATATTGCTCACAAGATTGGCTCAGTTTCATGTTTTGCACCACGACCCGGTATTGGGTGAATATCGTTTAACGATCGTTCTAAAAATGGGCCAGAATCGGCGATGTCATTCGAGTACTGGGCAGAGATGGGCGAGTGTCTGTGAACCGCGGCCGCTGCGGTGTCAGCGGACTTGGGGCCAAGCTTACGTTATCAGTTGGGAAACTGCCATAGAGCCTGCTCTGAAAAAGTGGCGCCGATCCGTACTCGAGAACCGAGCTAATAGCGATCGCAACGCCGCCATTTCTCCCGCAGTGACAACTCGAGGGAATGCACGCGATTTCTATTTTGACTTCAAACGGCCATTTTTGGCGCCGAAGGGGCTTCAAGGGCGCCACCTCCGTCTCCCAAGCGGACACGCTGCGAATAACTGCCGAAGTTAGGATGCGCCTAGGTTGGGACGCGCTGCTGAAATCACCGCTGAGA